GGATAGGAAATTGACTTTGCGCGCAGTGCCAGAGGCGAGCCCGGAAATAAAAGGCAACTAAGAGAGAGGAGAATTTAAGGAGATTGAATTTGTGGGGCAGTAGGAATCCAGTCGAAAATTAATGGGGGAGTATAAGGGACTTGTTTATCAGAGATGGAACGGTGCGAAGTTGTCAACCAAAGTTTTTAGCTCCGACAAGAACCTAACTTCAAAGCAGCGGGTGAAGCGAAGTGAAGGTCCCCTTATTTAGATTGATTACTCCTCCGTCACTTTTTACTTACTGAAACGCAAATTCCAGTCGAACCCCAACCTGGAGGACCAGTAGGCTGCACTTCTTCTGACCCTATCCTTCAATCTTCGAAGCATGATATGATTTTCGGCCTGACAAAAGCTATTCTGTATGGCTTGTTGGGTCAAGCGAACAAGCCATCACACCGCGTCAAGGTGCAGTCCCATCATGATAGTTGCAGTCTGGTCATATGTCCAATGGTCCAAATTTCGGTTCATGTGTTTAATCATAACTAGCTTTTAATCAGGTCCTTAAAAAAGACTGTCGGCTGGAATACTGGATTCCCAACCTCACTCTTCACAGAAAGCACTTCGTGCGGACAGGCTATGATAGAATCCCCGCATTGGAGCATTTTGAGACGAGCTCTGAACAACGAAATTCGTTCACGGGCCGAAGAAGAAGAAGGTAATCTCGTGTCTCTGGGCTCTGGTTTTGGCTACCGCCCCTTGGATATCCATTTTTTCTGCCAACAGAATAATAATAATAATAAAACTGGCGGAGAAACTCGGTGCCATGGTGAGCTTTTAGGGTGGACAAAGCTAAGTGTCTGTAGGAAGTTGATGCATGCTCCAGCTCCACTGCTTATCACACTGGGTCTGGATTGATCCCAACCCCTCCCCCAATCATAAAAATAAAATATCCTACAAGATGAATCCAATCGGACACTTTTTTAATCATTTCTTCGGGTCAGGCCGGTCCTAAACTTTTCATAAATACTGGCTTTCTCCACAAAAAATTACACTGTAAAATATCTAATCAAGCGTATTCGCTGATATGCACAACGCACCTTAGTCATTTTAATATAAAAGTAAAGCATACAAATAAGCTCGCCACTGTGCCTATCAGGTTATTTTCAATTAACCCCCATTTAGGTTGTTCGGTTGTGCCCTACTGTATAGAGAGTGGTGTACGATACACCGGTTGGCTGTTTTGTGTTCCCTTAGTAACAATCTTCATGAACTACTTGAGCTAACCATTGAAAGAACTTATCAATGAAAGTAATAAACAATGTATGTGGTCTGTATGTGAGCTATTGATACTAATGATGAAAAAGGCAGGCCCAGTCTACATCATTTGAGAGGAGCGCGAACCAAGGATGCGTTTTGGCTCAAGCAAAATGCTCTCATATTTTTGAGCTGTCTCATTTCTGTCATGAAATCGCCGTTTTATACCAAGGACACTTACGTAGTTTTTTCTTTTCTTTACAGTGCTATCTGTGGATACACAAGAGATGAAGCTTCTCGAAGAGCGAATCGCGAGTATGGCACCGAATATGGCTGCTATTGAAGAGTTTCGACGCAAAGCAGAAATTTACTTGACGCGTGTTAGTGAGTTAAATCAAGTGACGTCCGTTCTGGCCGAGCAACGTAAACTGATGGATGACGCCAAGGCCAAGCGACTTTCAGAGTTTCTCGACGGATTTCATTCCATCACGGCAAAATTGAAGGAAATGTATCAAATGATTACGCAAGGTTAGTTGTTCCAGATTCTGGGACAGTCTAGGTTTTCGTCACTCATTTGCTACTCTCCCTAGCACTATTTGTATTGTTCATTTGCATACCAATAGTCCGCATCACTGAACCCTTTCGTTACAATGATATGGTGTTTTAGTTACTTATTTGTTTTAGCGGTACCTGAAGTGTGTTCAGTCGAACTAGCTCCATCAGAAATTCTTTTTCTTTTGCTAAGTCTCTAGCCCCTAATTCCGAAGGAAATGTGACCTTTTGCAATCGGTTCAACTCATTCTAACTCATTCTCAAGTTAAAATATAGTTAATTTCAATCCTTGTGAATTCGCGCTTTTTACATGTGATCACCTTTTAGGTGGTGATGCTGAATTGGAACTAATCGACTCTTTGGATCCGTTTTCGGAGGGCATTGTGTTCAGCGTCCGGCCACCAAAAAAATCATGGAAAAATATCGCCAACTTATCAGGTGGCGAGAAAACTCTGTCCAGTTTGGCTCTGGTTTTTGCGCTACATCACTACAAACCTACCCCACTGTATGTCATGGATGAAATCGACGCTGCTCTCGATTTCAAAAACGTTTCTATCGTTGGAAACTATTTGAAGGAGCGCACCAAAAACGCACAGTTTATCGTTATCTCATTGCGTAATAATATGTTCGAGCTGTCTGATCGCCTAATTGGAATATACAAGACGTTCAATATCACAAAAACAATCACCTTAGATCCTGGACCACTGATGGATCGACTGAGCAAGTTAGTTGTTCGGGTTGCTACCGTTCATGGTCGTGAGAAGGATTTAATGGAGTATCAACAACAACTTCAAAGTCAACGACAACAGCAGCAGCAACAACAAGAACAACAGCCACAACCATCGAGTCAGATGACTACTATACCTCATCAGGCATATGATGCTCCAGATTCTCAACCGGTCCATCCATCGGGACCTCACTTTTTCGAAGATCAAGCCCCAGATTGTCCCATTAAGATCAGTGACGTAAGTGGTGAAGGCACTTTGAATATTGATAGTGTCTACCACATTTTTCGGTACCGAGTGAGAGCTGTGTCGCTTTTGTTTACCGCCAATTAATTACAGCAAACTGAGAGTGGTGGCTAAGCCAAGTTGGGATTGATGACACAAGGTGTATGTAGATTCTAACGCGTAAGACAATAATAACCATTGATTTATGGTTTACCAGAATACGAACAATATCTGGAACGTTGTGTTTGGTTGTCCTCTCGCCTACCCAAAAGTGATGGTTATGGTTCTGTCCCCAAATTACCCTGTGTATTCTGGTGCCGGATCTGTAAACTTTTGTACTTGTTTGTCTATTCATCCGATCATCGAGATTTCACGTGGTATGCTGAAAAAGAGAGGGAGAGAGGTGGGCTACGGAAGCTTCAGCGCTTGCACAAATTGTCTTAGACACACAAGGGGGCTAGTGCATTATATATGTTTAGTGGTTGGTTAGCAAGACATAAGACGGGAATTCAGGTAAAGTGGATTTTTCTACTACCAAGGGAATTTCGCCAGTATATATATATATATAAACATTTCCGTAAGAAACCTCGTGAGATTCATGATAGGGGAGTTATCTTGATAAAGTATGGTTATCCCGAATATGTCGGGAAACTGGTAGTAGAAAAACCCACTTCGTCTGAATCACCGTCTAATGTTTTGCTCATCAACCACTAAACATGTCGATTTTTCGCAGTATATAATCGATGTGGTCGCTTTCCTTCGTTTACACTGCCGTCGTACTGACGAAATTCCCTTGGTTATTCGAAAAATTGTGTTCCAGTTTACATCGAAACACTTGCACAAGTTGGTCGCTGTGATGCCGGATTCATGTCATCTCTGATAAGTTGTTTTTGTCTCTCGGTTTGAGTCACACGTGTGCTCTGATTCATTTTAGCAATAACTCACCAGTTACTGATCAGTAACCTATTTTTATGATGGTAACAATCGCAAAAACTTAAATTTTATGTTCAAAAGTTTTCAAAGTTCTTCAGTTAGAGGCAGTGGGAAAGTTCCCGTATAAGCCTCATCACCACCGACTGGAGCTGCATTGCACATTCCGCGAAGGATGCTGTCGAGCTTCCTCTTGAACATATTATCATTTACCTCGCCTACCACATCGGGAGTTCCATAGCATGGTTACCCAGCGCGATAGTCGGTACCTAAGAGGTAGTCCTATTGACGGAAGCCTCTTCAACGTAAGTCTGTCCACGAGTCCTGCTCCGTTCGTGCAGAGGAAAGTACTTCATTAGCTCTGGGCCCATATCACCACGTGGAGTACGTCGTACACATAATGTCGCCCTGTACTCGGTGATATGACTCTGAGAACAATCCAGTGGCACGCAATCGTTCAGTGTAGCAATACCCACGTAACCCGGCAATCATGTGACTGGTGGCTCGTTGGACCTTCGCCAGCTTGACAATTTCGGCGGTTGTATACGAATATACCGCGGCGCTCGCGAACTCCAAACGAGGTCTGACATGGGAGGTGTAGAGCGTCCTGAAACCGTCGTATGAGAGTTTGGAAAAGGAACGGCGAATGGCTCCAGGGATTCTCCAACTTAGTGCTCAGGCTGTCTGTTTGCTCTCTGGTTTTTAACGACGTGGAACCCAGCACCCCGAGATCCCGTTCGCATGCAGATGCTGTTGTGTCCGAATCCCGATTGATCACGATGTACACACAACAAGATATCACACGATGACATACAAGGAGCACAATAATGACACAAGGAACACACGTACCTCAACGGCCACACTAGTCGTCTAGACCCACGAGTACGATCACAGCACAGATTGGACTCCGCGAGCACTAGTAGCCTTCTCCCAGCTACAGTGCAAGAACACAGATAGTGCACAGAGAACGTGTAATTGACACACAGGAAGCAAGTCAATTTAGAAGTTTCACTCTGATGCTTATATGCGACTCAAAGTAGCATCGATTAATGCAAGAAAAAGATTGTGCCAATCAAGTAGCAAGGTTCAATCGGTCATAGGTCACGGATCAGCCGGACGGACAGAGTGGATATTTCCGTATGGCGCAATATTATTGATTAATCTCCGCGAGATTAGTATTGATTCGAGATGCCCCTAATTGAAATTACAGTTTTAGGTAAAAATAGTCTTTTACCTAACATCTCCCCCAACAAAGTTCATTGATAGCATTTGGCCTTTGGGTCCACTTGGAAGGGTCGTACAGAGCGTCGAACTCTGTCGGTGCAGCGTCTTGCTCTCAGGTTGGGTTCCAGTGGTTCGGCTGACTTGGG